CCGTTATTTAATTACAAATAATGTTTATACTGTTTTCCGTTACTATTTTTTCTTTGCTTATTACATTTAATATATTCGGAACCCTCATTGTTTCCGGAGCAATTGCAAACGATGTATTCATTATTCAACGCTCTTCTTTCTTTTCACGATATCCATGCGCTGTTATATTCAACAATTTGCGACGATAAGTTTATTGGAAGATATTTTATAGAAAATTTCCATATTCCTTAATCGAATAATGTTTCACATATATTATTTATAATCTCCTCTTATGCCAATGCCAATGGTTGGCTGACTTCCTTAGGCCAAAATTAATAATAATTTGATTTCTTACCAGAAAGCAAGGATACGTTGATTTAGGATTTAGTTGATCTAACCTACTCGTTCCTCGGTATTTCTTCCACTCTTCCAATGAATCGTCCATTGACCATAAATTATGTTCTTACACATCGCTCTGTTAATGTAAAAGGTTCATCAGCTTGACAGGCTTAGTTATTAATAGTTATTTGCGATCATCGGTCGTGCTCCTCAAAATCTTCAAAAAACATAATTTTAATTTTCCACCATCTGTACATTCACAAATACAATCGAGAAACTGATTGTAGAATCTTAAATTATCTTAAGTTTAATGCTTTCTACAATTGTGAGCCTATTGATATTAACATTTTTTTGCTTTTTTACAATTGGTGTTTTTATTATACATACCTTGTCCTCGCGTAATTTGAATAATTTATTAGTTATACGGTAGAAAGGAAGCGAGAAAAATGTTTTAATACAGTAAATACTTAAACATTATGCTACATAATACGAGAAAATAAAATAAAATAAGGGTAAAGATTGAACAATTGCAATAGAAAGATAATAATGTAAAATATAATTAATGTGGTAAAATCATAAGTTTGTTCAAACGAATAAATAGTTTATAATAAATGCGTAAACAACAATAAGAAAAGTAGTAGCTATAGTAATATGGATACTGTACAGTTAATTGCAGTTAAAAACTCGTGTATAGTTAATTAGCAAAAGCCATGAACTTGATATTTGTGAAATCATATCACACATTTTTCACATTTAAACAATTCTATTTTTCACATTTCTACAATTAAAATAGTAATCATAAACATAATGCGCTACACATTTATTATAATCTTTATTATTACATTGTTACATCTTAATTATAATACCTTCGTCAAAAATTTTAACCAATAAATGAATAAAAAAAAAAAAAAAAAAAAAGAAACACCATTAGATTATAAAATATGAAAATACTACATTAGTACTGATAAGCAATAACGATTGCTTATGGAAATAAACGAGAAGAAATAATAAATATTTAATTTAATTAATAATTTTTAACAAATTTTATTGAATCGTATGATATGGTTATTATAATGAAAAAGTTCTTACAAATAAATTGATTAAACTTATTAAATTACTAATAAAAGTATCAAATATTGTCTTTCAATACAGAAATATTTTACTCGTATTATTTATTGTATTCTTATAATAATTCATGTTATTCGATTATATTATTCAATAATAACAATATGTAAACAATAATGAGAGTTATGTTCGTGGAAACGGGGAGATAATTAGTTTTAAATGATCAATTGAACGGTGTCACACACAATGGTCCTGCTACATGACGAATTACACTTTCACAGTTTGTGCAACACGACGTGTATGAACGGTAATTGAACGCTAAGAAATAAGATGAAGAAAGAGAAAAAAAATTATTGTTTGCATAAATTGAAGAGCATAATGAAATGCAATTTAAAGAAGAGAAGCTCCTAGCGACATAAATGACAAAGAAATTTGAATCAGATAAATAATCATAATTACATTTACAGTCATTAGCCTATAGTTTACCTATCATTCTATTATCGAAGGAAAAATTTTTAGTTGGTAACTGTGTAAATTACTCGTATACGTTTAGTTGTATTTAGTAAAGAAATTACTAACTATAAATACATATAGTAATAGAATATTAGAATTTTACAATAGAGAAAGGAATAAAAATCGAGAAATAAGATTGATTAATCTTACAAATGACTAGTAACACATACTCACGAATACATATGTGTATGCGTATAATGGCACGTATACAAAATAGATTGAAAGAGCACGAGAAATTTGAGATGATAAAAGTAATGGAGGAGCGGAGAAAATTATATTCATAATAATCTTTAATAATGAGATATGTTAAAATAATAATAATTACTAATAAACATTGATAGTATGATGCAATCTAATGTAACAAAAAAAAAAAAGAAAAAAAAAAAAGTTAATTTTAATGATAAAAGACAGCATATGAAGGTTATTAAAGTAAGAGACTTGAATATCAGTGAGATACTTGACATATCGGATGCAAAAACATTATACATCAATCGTGACAATAGAGGATATTATGAATGAAATAATAAAAACTCATTTATTTTGTATATTGGTTACTTAAAATATGCTCGAAGGATTGGAATTGGAGTTTAATAGTGAATCGACGTCGGTATTTTCACTTTGTTTGTGGATAATTTATATTTCAATTCATTATTCGACGCTTATAATGAAAGAAATTTGGTTGAAAGGAGTCTTAGATAAGACAAGTGATGAGTCCAACAATTGAATTTAAAAATATTGAAAAATAACGATTATTATATTTATTTATGTTTATTTATACCAGAATTTTTATGCTTCATATCTTATGCTTAGTTATATAAGTTTTTTACACATATTCTTATTATTAAGTATATACTGATAAAATGCTTATGACTAATATCATACGATTTATGATAAACATTAACATAAGTGTTTATACTTATGGGAATATATTACGCAGCAGATACAATAACAAAATTTTATACCATCAGGGCAAATTCATGATATTATATATTTGTTAATATTAAAATAATATTGTACTACCATTTGTCATTATATAATAAAAAAGACAATGAAATTAGTAATGTAATTTTTAATGATTAACACAGAATTAATTATCCTATGCTTGAGGATAATTTACATTATAATTGAATGTACTTAAATTACTTATTATTATAGCCACAGATGGAAACAAACTCTTATTTAAAGATTTAAATACAATCCGTGAAATAGTATAAAATGGTATTAATTTTCGTGTTTGTTCTGATATCATTGCAGCAATATTTGTCATTGGCGAATAAATTTTTGCCTTGAAATAAATGTGATTAATCAAATGAGTAGAAAAACTAAATCAATAATGTAATTTATTTTTTCTACATTGGTCATTAAATATTTTTCGTTTAAGATAAAAACATTAATCTTTATTTTATCAATCAATGTCAGTTATAATACAATTTATAAATAGGAGATAAAATAGATTGATAAACTACAAAGTGAATAAGCTTAAATTCATAACCATATAACAAATTATATATTATGTAGAAAAAAATGTTATAGGATGCTTTCCATTTTTATTTATTTATTTATTATTTTTTTTTTTAAATATTATTCTTTAAAAGCAAGATAAAAAGCTACGTAACGAAAAGTATTAAATGTTATTTTAAATGAATTCTAATATTTTATTTTTATGCTATTAAATATCAATTTGACTTTTTTTATTGTTTCAAATGATTACTACTAGTCACATAAATCATTAAATAAAGCTTATATATATATAAAATATGTAAATATAATTAAAGTTCAAGTTCGTTCATACGTACATAAACAATCGTTAAAATGATTTTTTAATTTTTATTGTGATCAATTCATTTTTAGTTTATATTAAGAATTTAATTCATGTTATTAAGAATTGTGGTATATTTCTATAAAATTTTTTATTCGTACATAATAATGAAACAATAGGTTTGATAATATAGAAACTATAACAACTTAAATATCTATGATTTCACTAATAATTGTTACGTTAGTTTGAAATTTCAATCTAAAGAACAATCGAAACATGAAACTTTATAATTATTCAAATTTTTCCAAATTTCAATAGATTATTTACAAATGCACAGATAATATTTATCTAATGGCTATAACATAATTTAAGTATTTCCTAATTTGATTTTTTAAAATTAAAATAGATAATTTGATTAACAAATGAATAAATTAATTTAATTGGAGTCATAGCCGTTAGTGTAATAATAATTAATAATTTGGTTGTTACTTTGCAATTCCTCCTAAAGTATTGTAATTCAATTACATAAGTATAAATAAATAGATTTCAAAAAATAAAAATTACTTTCGTAATAGGAAATTTTCGTAAAATTTCAGCATGAATGCGTGATTTGTATTTGTCATGCATTAATATATAATATAAATGAAATTTACGTCATATCTTAAAGGAACCTCAATGGGAAAAATCTAATCTTTATAATTTCATTATTTGTAGTAAAAAACATCTAATCAATCATAAATTAAAACAAATAACATTATATTTTGACTTTTCTTTTATAAGAGATGAAATTGGAAATATAAATAACGGAAGGAAACTTTTCTTATAATTGAATAATTATGAAAAATTTATAAAAATAATGAAAAATGTAACGAAAATGTACTTTATTATAAAAACATGAAATATGTTCAAATAATCTGTTTGCGTACATTGTAAATGGTATTATTATAAGTAATGAATGAATAAATGTAAAAATGAATAAATATTGTAGATTAATAGAAAAATATAGATTTATACACCAATGTATTAACGCAAGAGATTATCAAGGACAATTTCATAATATAGTTAAGACTTAACATAAAAACAAAAAACAATGCATAATTTACCATCTTTACAATATTAATATCGTAATTTAGATAAATAATCGATAAATAATAAGGATTAGTATAGTTGCTCATTTAAAAATAAATTTTGAGCTATAAAATTACATTTGGTAAACTTGCCTAAACTAAATGTAACGAATACTTTATGCCAGAATATTTGCGTCTAAATAGCTCTCGATCAGTCATTATTCTCCGCTTCATCCTGCTGGTCTAAATAAATTTAAATGTCATTGTGAATCTCTTACCGTAAATATTATAGCCGGCACATCCGTTTCCTGCATCGACCCCATCTTTCTGTATACTCACAACAAAAATCGCAATGAGTACAAATGTCCTAACTCCATTCAAATTGGTCATAGTATTGCTCATTCACGGTGCAACTAACTTCTTTCCCTCTCAATAGGGAACTGATTTTTTCATAAGCTTGATTATCGATAGTTTCGCACGATGATTTATTAATAGGAACCGCATCGTCAAAACCATACGAATCAAAGGAGCCTACACTTCTTACATCTGTGCATGGATTATATGCTATTGGCTGCCCGGCGATTTCAATCGCAATAAAAATACGATGCTTTTTTCCTGCTATTGACTATGGAAAAATGAGACTTTATTAAATCGTATTTAAATAGTAAATGCGGCTCCTTATTTCATGCTTCTGCTAGCACATGTTCGATTTATTTGGCTAAGTATTTTTATTGGTCGATACAACATCATGAGACTGTATGTATGCGGAGCGTTTCGATTTTAACAAGATTTGCAATAGCCACTGTGAGAATTTAATATTTTACAAGTGTGCAGTCGTGCTATAAGAACAATTAAAAGTGACGCTATAAAGTCCCCTTTTTTCATTTTAATCGCTACTGAGGCGTGTATCATCGTCATTATGTATATGTAGATATGCTTATACTTGTTTATGCAGGAAATTGATTGAACGTATGCTGCACCGCAACCGTGTAGTCAAATATTTTCTACATGACCTTGGGTTAAATTGTACACTTATATAAGGATTAGAGTTACGCATTTTTCATGCGGCTATAAAAATAATTCATTAAAAGCAATCGTGTCATCTTAATTTAAGAAAATTTTATTTAAATGAAAAAAAAAAAAAAAAAAAAAAAAAAAAAAAAAAAATAGAAACGAAAAGAAAGAAATGAAATAAGAAAAGAAAAACGGACGTAGAAGTATCAGAAGTATGCTTTATTAGCTTTATAGAAAATAAATAGAAATAGTTCGGTTATTTTAGAAGTTTTTGAATTTATATATAAATACGCAATGTGTATATTAATTTATCATATATTAAAATACTTTTAAAGGCGATTATTAATTAATTAAATTACAGCCCAGCATTATAAAGAATCAAATCAAACATAAATAGCTGATTTGAATTGAAATAATTGTTATTAAAATGCTTTATAGGTTTATAGGTTTACTCTTTTCACAATGATTTTAAATTTAATATTTTAGTTGCGATCGTCGTTTCATAAATTGTACGCTTTTATACGAAAGTTACTTGTTAACATATGAGCATTTTAGGCTTTTTTTACGATATCATTGTGAAAATTTTTTATTATATTATATACGATATTTAATAGGAGTAGTCAAAAAGTCAAAGATATAATCGATATATAATCGATTATATTCGTGATTTATAGAAAATATAAAGCACATCTTACTATGCGTAATATACAATTGTTTTCATCATAAACAAGACAAACAACATTTCTGCTCTTATAAAATATTATATTATTCAGGTATTATCATAACCATATTAATAAAAAAACATGTGTAAAACAAGTTAAAAAAATAGTTAAAAAAAATTATTATTATTGTTATTATTATTATTGTTGTTGTTATTATTATTATTATTATTATTATTATTATTATTATTATTATTATTATTATTATTATTATTATTAAATAAAAATCATCTGTGTGAATTATATAATAAATATTTTAAAGGATAATACAATAATAAGTTGTAAATTGTTTGATTAAATATCAATTATATGTTCAGAACACAAAATGTAGTAAAATAATGTATAGAAATCCAGAAAAAAATACAAATAACTTTGTTGTTTCTGGATTATTTACATCTTTGAAGGCTTGGATTATATATTAAATAATAGTCAATTGAGGGAGACAATTTAAAGAATAAAAAGTATAGGCTTTGATAATTCAGTTGGAAGAAGATCTAGAGAAAACTAGTAATATCTCAAATTCGGCTCATAACCGATCTACCAGTTTGTTGTTATTTTTTCTTTTAATTTTTGTCAAAGCTGCTTTCCACCAATTAGCAAACTGTTAAATATATAAAAAGTATAAAGCAATAAAATACAAGACGACAAAGTGAAATTTTATTCGAAAGGAAACACTGTTTTATTATTTATGTCCTAAATAATTATATTACTCGGACTGAAATAAGAAAACTAGTTGTTTAAATATATATATATATATATATATATATTTTTTTAAATATTGTTTGTGTAAAATAATTAATTTTTTATTTAATATTTAAAATGGCAACGTATTTTTACGTTTCTTAAAAATTATTGAACCGCACAACTTTCTTATTGTCATTCTAAAAAGTTTAAAATTATTGATCCATGCGAAATAAAAATATATATGTGTATATATAAGTTTTTTTTAATAATAATGCGCAAGAAGAAAAAGACGATCGTTAAATGATAACGAGCAGTATTTATACGATACAAAATATATTCATTCTTAAAATTTTTTTTTTTCTTCAAAGGAACATTGTAAGAAGAATGGAGCTTAACTTAATAGCGAATGGAATTTAGTGAAGCAAGCAAATATTTGTAATAGGATTGACAAGAATTTGCACAAGTATTTGCACAATTGCAATATAGATTTACTTTAAGGTTCATCATATACATAGATTCATAATATCGGTTAAATTTAGATAAAATAATATAAAAAATAACAAAAAATAATATAAAATAATAAATTCAACATCTATAATTCTATAATTCAATTATTAAATATTGAATTAATTTACACTTAATTATTATATTAAATTAAAAAGTAAATAATTAATGTTGCAATTACTAATTGTAGAAGAATTGTCTTGAGCTTTGCTTATAAAACTTTCATAATATATTATAGAACAAGTTTTTATTTGTACGACGATATAAATTATAATTATAGTCTCGCAAATTAAAGAACAGAATCATCATTACCATCTAAATTGTATATAATGATTGTATTTTTAATTGTTGTTACTATTAGGATAAATATATAATTATTTATCGGTTCAAATGAATGTGCAAAGACTTCTTTATTTAAATACAATGTATTATAGTTACAAAATGCATAAATATTATATAAAGTTGCTCAAAATAAAAAGAAAAGATAATTTATAAATTATTCTTCAAATTTTGATAAAATGATTGAAAAATAAATTTAAGCAAATAATGTAACAATTGAAGGAGAAAGGAAGATAAAATACGAAAAAGAGTTGATTTTATCATACACCCCAATGCTTTTATTATTTCTTATTAAATGTCTAATTCAGTGATGAATTATAATATATTTTCATACATATCTGTTCACATTATCATTGTAATATAATAGAACTTTTATTATAATCTTATTCGCTGATAAATATATACAATTAGAATGTGACATAATAAAAATACTGATTTTCATAATAAAAACTATTAATTATATATGTGATAATTTAACACAAAAGCTGATTTAACATAACAAATTTTTAATATATTACTACTGAAGCTATATTAATATATAATAGTTATATTTGTCGATTAATTAAAACTCAATAGACTAGAAGCTTTTTCTACTCTTTATCAGTTTAAATTTTAATTTTAATATATCTACGGATATACTAACATTAATACCTTTTATATATCTAAGTAGCAAGTAATGTTAAACTTCCTAAATAGAACTATTATTTTTTAATTAATTTCAAATAATAATTTATCTCACATTTTCTAATTGAAAACATATAAATAATGGTTTATGCAATATTAACATTGAATACAATTTTTGATATTATATAACGTATATGACATTGACTATATTAATAATTTTAAGGTAGAATTTTATTTCCCTCGCTTTAATGTAACGTGGCAAAAAAAAAAAAAAAAAAAAAAAAAAAAAAAAATTTGATAAAATTTATTAAAACTATCATTTCATAGAAACTAGTAAGTTCTCGTTCAATCACGAATGTAAATTACATTTACAACTTATATTTATCCTGATAATTTTCATTTTTGTTTTGAAACATCATCTTACGAAAGTTTGTATATTCATGTAAACTATACAACATATCTAAAATATATGTATCCAATTAGAATTTTGTTGAAATATTGATAATAATTAATATATAATTGTCTCCGTAAATGTAATATTATAAAGCACAACATCTTTCTATCTTTTCTATATGCATATGAAAATTGCACACTTTAAAACACATACCTAAATATCACAAAAAACTTATTAAATTGAATATTTGTATTTTACTAAATTTACGTTATATATAATATTATGTAAATTTATAATAAAAAAAAAAAATATATATATATATATATTGTTAAATCTCATTTAAATAAATTTTTAATTATAATTCTATAGTATATTCAATATTCTATGTAAAATATTAAAAATGATAGTAAAAAATGACTTTCTTATTATAAAAGTATTTTTTTTTTCATTGTACTTAAATTTAAAATATCGTCTAAAATATATAGTACTTTAATAATAAAAAAATATATATATATATATATATAAAATCTATATAATTAATACACTTTAATTGTTTGAGAATAAAATATTTTCAATAGAATCCTATCGATCAATAGAAAACTAATGCTTGACGTATGAATTTACAACACAAGAGACAGATTTTGAAAATCTCAATATAAAGTATTTAAAGTGTTTGTATTATAACTTTTATGAATAAAGTATTTAATTAATTTTATGAAAATAGAGCTCGTTAATATTGAAATTATTTTTTCCGGACTACAACTAGCAACTTACAATATTTTTAATTACTTTATTATTGTGATTATCATTAAAAATATTAATATTAAAATTCCAAATGTCGTAATTGAAATTGCAATTAAGAATGTCAGTTTTTGATTTTGTCCAATATCCATGTAATATACTGTGTTTTTAGTTTCAAAAATATTTTAAATCCTCCAATACTCTTCTTGACATTCATAAATTATTATTCTGTTTTATATTATTTCATTTATTTCCATCGGCCGTACTTTAATTATATTTTCACAGATTTCTAATAAAAATCTAACCGAAAGTACAGTATACGCCAAGGGGATAGTAGACTCCTCGTGCTGAAAAAGACAAAAAATTATAATAACAATATTTTTATACAGTTGATATATATATATATATATATATATATATATATGCATGTATGTGAGTATGTATGATCCATTTCATTATTTTTATTCTTACAACATAGTCCGGAGTATCTATTAGAGTAGTTGACACCATATGAATTGCATTCTGGCCATCCAAATGGATATGGTTTGTAACCAAGAATATTGCCACTGAAAAAATTTCATATTTCATAAAATGATAACTTTTTTTTATATTATTTACATTATATTAAATTGATGATTTTTAGTATAATTTTTCTTGCATTGAGTTGTTTTAAAATTGTTTATATTACTTTTTCTGCTTTTACAGACAAAAATATAATAATGTCATTTCGAATGAAAATTAAAATTATAATAAATATAAATACGAATAATCTACATAGTAATTAAAGATTTATATTCAGAAAATTAGAGAATCATAAAGAATGATTTAATATAAACATTTAATATTGACTATATACATTTCCATATATTTAACACGAGTAAACTTATTGGTCGAAATTTTAGATGCTAAATGCAACTCAATTCGTATAATTTTGTTAAAAAATGTTTAATTAGTAATTGATGCCAAATAAAAATTAGCAATGAACTTACAGTTATGGAAAAAGGAATGATGAAAAATTTCTTTTTAACTTCTCAATGAATAAATTATGCATTTTCGACTTTCTAGCAGTATTACTTCGAAAATGAATTTGTTTGAAAAACTCTTTATTCATTATTATAAGTAAATCTAGGCGAATATAAATTTTTAGATGAACAAGAAAGATGATAAGTGCAGATATACGTGTAATTAATTAAACGTAATTACATGTAATTATTAAATGTAATAATTAATCTATCAAAACATCACTGAAAATAATATGAATTATCTAATAACATTAAAATGAAATAATCCGTGATAGTTAAATCTTTGTTTATGAAGAAATGAATAACATACAACATTAATTAATAAAATTGTAGAATATAGAATATGTTATGAAATATTTTTTAATTAATTGGAAATATTTTGATTCTACTTTAGCCATGACCAAGAAAAATGACTATGAAAAATAATTATACATATGTATTCTAAAAATTTCTCTCTGAGTGAAATTCATTGCTTAATGGTTACACTAAAATATAAGATGTATAACGTGATGATTTGAAGTAAATCGCAATGAATTTTGAAAAGAAATGGGTTATGGAAATGTTATGAAGCAACGCAAGATTATAATCAAGAATTTCATTAATAATCCGAAAGATCGAAACTATTGTCATACCGCATCGGCGATTGGCGATCATAACGAATTAAACGAACGGAATCATTACCTCGGGCCGTAGTTGCAAACATAATTCTTTGTGTAGCCTCGTAATGGATCATAATAGAAGGAATAGCCGCAGCCGATTAAAAACGTTGTGCCCCATACAACCTTTAAGTAAAAGGGACGAAAATTAAAATCGAATGGCCAATCACTCGGCACTATAATCGAATTGGAAATGTCAGATTTGTACTTGAGTGTAATGGCCGGTAATGCTGCTGTAGCCACTGCGGTAATATTGTACTTCGCTGAACCAGGCAGAAATTTGAGGCCTCCAGTCGGGTTCGGAATCGTAGGACCCGATCGGCCTGCGCGTTGTCCATGTACGCGCGATGTTCTGGCCGACTGCGAATCTACCTTTATTTAATTCAAGCCAGATGTTTTCATGAATGTGTGTCTTATACGGGATTTAATTATTTTTATATATAGCGCACTTTGTATTACCACTTCCACTCTTGTCTACCGACGACCGTGCGAGCTAAATCTAATTGTTTTGAATTAAGGACGTGCGTGTGCTATTGTATCACAGGGCAGGTTTTTTTTCTTTAACCCCGGTCCCTCCAAATGTCAATTGTTAATTGCAAAAGGCTTGGAATATTTTTATGTAAGACCAAGTATGGCAACCATAATAATTATAGTGCCCATATATTTATATATATAATATTTTTATAATATAATATAATAGAAAATAAAATCAGAATAAAACTCACTATTTTAAGTGTAGGTTAATGGAGTTCATAAAAATCGTGCCAATAGGAATTTATATTTGCTCTTTATTGAAAAATCTATTAAACGAACTCGATAGTTGAAAGTTTTATTCGTCATTTTCTAGTCTCAATTAAGCCAAATAATGAGTGATAATGATAGTGATAATTCCGTCCCATTAATCCATGCGTCTTCATTTTCATTCATTTGCACTCGAATTTTCAATCGACAACAAACAACCGAGATTTTCCGTTAAATACAGGCATCGAGGAAGCCTCTACTTCATCATTTCTCAAAATTGACATTGACAAACTATAGCAGAACAGCTGGTCAAGTTCGCGGTTCGCTCGAATTTCCTCTTCAACGCGATTTCAATCCAATCTAACACCAACATTCATATACATACATATATATATATATATATATATATATATATATATATATATTCTTTTATACAGTCGAGGATTCTTGGCTCACTATCGTTATTACCAATTTGCTTAAGAAAAAGTATTGTTCATTCGTTTAGGCCTACTTCACTTAATTATTCGTAGCTTATTATTATTAAACTTCAATGTCACGATACTCAGTTTTTATAATCCACTTAATAATCTCTCGCGATCTTAATATTTACAACTTACATACTTAATATCAATCTAAACAATAACATTATCGATATATAGTCTCTTTCTTACTCTGCAAATTATTTTTTAGCTAGTTTTTTCGTCAATTTAAAGTCCGCAAGAAATTAATATTTTTTAAATGTTTGCCACTGTTATCTTTAAATAAATTTCGCTCAAATTCTCATTATAATTCGGTAGATCATAATAATTCATATTTCATTAATCCGAATTAAATGTTTTTATTATAAAGATAAATTTTTTAATTTAATATTAAATTTATAATGTATTATAAGAATAAAAACTAACTTTTTATATCATTATTATTATTATTTTTTCGAATGTTTATAAAGATTATTATGTTAGTCAACTATAACGTTTATTCAATTATATTTATTCAACGTATATTTTATTATAAAATTTAATTCTGAAACTATTAAAAATAAAATATAAAAGATAAACAAATTTAAATATAAAATTATGAATTATCACGCTCATTATAATTGATATTATTAATGTATTTCTATAATATATTAATATATTTTTATATTAATATCATATGGAAAATATTATTTTTTACATAAAAATAATATCATAAGCTTCATAGTTATATTGTGAAATATTATTAAGTCGTTGTGTTATAGATAAAAACTAATTATACAAACAAAGTCAATAGCATAATATTAGAATAAAGTATTTTTAATTTTTAAATATAAACTGAAACCTTGAACGTTGCTTTATAATCCGATTTAAGTTCAAAGTTTTGTAAGCCGGGCAGTAAAAATGAAGAAAACATTAGATAAAAGTAAAAGGAATAATTTACGAAAAAAGCCTGCTTTTACTTTCCCTTATTTAATAAAGTTGGCTTTTTCAAGCACATTGAACTGATTTACAAAGTCTGTAACTATGAAAAAACTGACAATATATGTCCTGATAGATTTCTCATTGATTTAGATTGAATTGTAGATCGATTATGGTAGAAATTAAGGTACATTAACCATATTAAATATAGCGTAAAATAAATACAGACTGAGAAAAAAATATTTGTAATTTGCAAGTTGAAGCATTCAATTTTTGTTAATATTAATATCAAATTCAATATTTTCTTAAAGTAACATAAATAATACTTATACCGAAATTTAGATATAAGTAAAGTCTAACAATTATTTTTTATTAATTATTAATCTACTTATTATTTTAACACTATGGTTAACTTATAGTTATTAATTTATATTATCTATTAAATTTTTTATTACTTATATTATATTTATATTATAGGCGAGTTAACTTATAGCAACTTACAGTTGGTCTTACTACAATGATACTTAATTTTACAATGCTTCATCCTTATTAATTAACGGGTACTAAATAATCGGGTTTCTATATCTAACATTTATGATGTATAAACAATGAATATATCAAATTATGTATGAACTTACGAACATTCCGTGCATTATCGTGGTTCTCGTTGCAATGGCTTGCCCATCGCTGAGCTACCGCGGCTAATTCATCGTCCCAAATCTGTAAAAGTTTTCCAATTTGTAACATTCATTATTAAATTGTATTTTTTAAAAGCGTCGTATAAAACGATTTATAAATAGGATTATATTACGAAATAGATTAATATTACAATTTGTAATGTTGCTCTAATGTTTAGTTATTTTCCGTATATTATATTAATAGTGATGTAACGAGTGATGATAATTGCAAATACGCTTTTATTCCGTCAACTTAAGGATTACAAGACGTTTATTACACTGTAATAGCCAATAATAAATTCTATTCACAATTTGAAAATCTAGAAAATTATAAAAATAAATGAAAAAACATATCAATTTTATTATTATTTCCAATATTGATACAAACGATGTATTTTATCATTAAATAGTAATTAGTTTTTTTTTTCTTTTTTTTTTTCTTTTGATATTATTAATCGTATGCCGAAAAATAAGTATACGGAAGAAGACTGCTGCTAATGAAAAATGTTAATTTGAAATATTTTTTTTACGAAATTTACGAAATTTACGAAATTGTATATAGATTATTTATATATATATATATATTTGATATATTTCAAAGAGCTCGGGCATTAATTATACTCGGCGTACAATTAGCTTAAAGTAAGTTTATATAAAATTCAAGTATTTCGAACATTTATTCTTCTCCATTCGAGAAAGCAAGATTGATATTATTTTTCTGTTAATATTCATTCGTTATTAAAGCATTAATCAATATATCTTTTTGATATTGAAATTCTTGTAAATCAACCGTGGTAAATTAATCATTGCATTATTTCAATAATTACGCATAATCACACACTCTGCATGGAATAAATACATAAGTAAGTTGCAATAATTTTCCATACTATTTCCATCATTAGTTTGGCTGGTGGTTGGCCACGAATTTGTCCCAATGCGACTAATTGTCGGAGTCGATTGTGCTCGTCGAGTATATTTCGCTTGTCTTGACAAGATACTCCTGACCCTAAAGATAATAATTAACGAAATAATAATCACATTATGAATATATATATATATATATATATATATATATATATATATTACATGTATAATACGAGCATCAACTGCTATTATTTTGCAACGCAATGTCAAGCAAATAGATTACACTGACTAATTTCTCATTTATTTTCAAATTACATACAAAATACATACGCTTTTTATATTAATTATATCTGTCATTCATTTATCACTTCTTTCATTATTTACAGTATTTATTTTTTGTTATATTGTATCAAAGTTATAATTATGGTGGAAGTTTTTTTTGTTAATTTCGTTAAATAATTATTATTCTATGTGAAATTTTCTATGGTGATTTTTATATTATTATTATGTAATTTATCCGTTAGGATTTTAATTTAATCGATCCTTGTTAGTAGACTATGTGATATAAATACATTTTTATAAATTTATAAAGTGAATTGTTTTACATTGCCCGACGAATATATTAGAAAAATTGCAATAGCAATTAAATAATTTTATAATTATATGAATGTATTATCTTTGGAAGGTAAAAGAACTTTAATGATTAAAAGCTTTAAATTAAAATTTGATCTCTTTAACAGTAGTATAAAATCAATATTTGATTGAGTGAAAAATAAAAATAAATATAACGTTTAATGAAAAGTTTGTAACAATTAAAGCGTAAATATTTTCAAATGCCAATGGAAAATGATTTATTTAGATTTGAAATTTAAATGGCAATTAAATACTTTATTATAGAATTATCATAATGAACATTTACACATATAATTTAAAAAGCTTTCATTTTCAAATTGAAATTATTTATTATAACGAATTATAATGTATTATATTGATAAAGTGTAGAATATACAAAGCCAATAGATGAAATTATTGAAAATAAGGCCCATATATTACTTGTTTGTTACGTTGTAATGTAAATAAACAATTTAAATAAATAATATAATGTATTTTTTTTAAATATCTTAAATTATATTAAATTCAAATAATAAGCAAGGTAAGGTATTATTAATACAGATAATATGTATATATAAATAAAATTTTTTTCCCAATTAATCATTGCTTAATCATAATGAATGAGTAATTTCGTAATGGGAATCTCTGACTCTGTAAATCAGTTTTGCCGAATAATTTGTCAGCGAAATGAATTTAAAATTTATTAATCGCGTGGGACAGATTATACAGAATCACATATTTATTGATTTCAAATACTTAGGAATAAATTTATGAGCAATCAATTTTCAATATAAGTAATAAATTAGCATATTTCTGTCATAGTTTTCGTAAATCCATTTTATCTAAGGTGGCATTTAATTAGTGCAATTTAATTCCAATGATTTATAGAAGTAAATTCGTTTATTCACTCTCACATCTAGCGTTGTTAACCAGTACATTTCATAATTATTAACAATGAAAAGTTTTTGAGCGAGAAATGACTTGCATGCAAATAAAACAGAATATATTCTTATAAACAGCAAATTATGTATTAAATTGAGATCTCACAAGCGATTAGAATCAGTGTTATGCGCTTTTTCTTTTTCCCATGATGGATACAAAAAAAACGAAGTCGAGCATTGAAAGAAAATAGACCAGAGCTGCAACGAATTAGAGTGCGTATTGGCCTAGCCTTTTTCGTTTCCGGTTTGATGGCTCAAAACTGACGTTTTCAATTATATGATAACAATAAACAAGTAACATTACGTGATTATTCAATCATTAGTACATGCGATTCCACATTTTACTTTATTGCGTAGCACTCGAGGCAGATTATGAAACGTAACTTTAAATAATAATAATAATAATTATTATTATTATTATTATTATTATTATTATTATTAAGCATACTTCATTTATTAATTGTTTATTATCTTTTAATGTTTAAATTCATAAATACAAATGTAAGTTTAAGCATTGAATTGAATTGAATTGAATTTTTCATGAGATATCAATGTAACAATATACATACAAGTTTGAATAGTAAATTAAATTCTTTTTTACCTCATGTTAAGGTTGTAATATACGCATTAAAGTATCTTATGTAATATAATTTTAGATAATTTAAATTTATCAATACTTAAAAAAAACTTTGCTTAATCAATATTTTTTATGGCTTATATAATTTTCATAAGCTTTGTTTGAAAACCTTTATTTAATGTTGATAACTTTAACTTTATACGAGTTGATTAGTATATATATATATATATATATATATATATATATATATATATATATAACTTATTATATTATAAATTATTCAATTTTAATCTTCTAAGAGTCTTTGCAAATAATGTGTAAGAAAAAAAATTCATACTGATCATGTGTAAGTGTATTATTTACAATATTTATTTGCAATATTCCATGATTATACATTTATATATAATTCTAAGGTAGATAATAAATTATTGATAAATTTCCATATTGAATATTGTGTACCTCTTAAATTAATAACAATAATAAATTGATATTTACGTTAGTATTTAACAATAAAACTTTTCATATATAAAAAATAAAGAGTTTAAATTTTTAAATAATTAATAATTAATTTATTAATAACAATTTTGCATTGTATATAAAAAAGCAAAAAATTGAAGAACTTTGGTTTTGAACATATCTTATTGGATTAAATGGTTGATATAATTTTTTAATTTTCTCCATTTTAATATTTTGTATAAAAAATTGAGATTTTTCTACGAATCCTCCTATCAATACTATCGCTTGATAGATCGTAATGGTATGAGTTTTTTTTATACATTGTAAATCTTTAGAATAGAATATTCTATTTTTTATTATGAGAAATGATTAAATGCGCGTATAAGGAGAAAAAAATATTGATAAAAGCTCTCATTGATTTTAATATAAATTAATAAGCAGCTTATGTGGTAAAATGATATAAATGGTGAAAAATGAATAAAACGCCATGGTTTAAGTGATTAATATGGAGAAAAAAAATAGAATAAAGCATTGGAAAGACATGTTTCCGCAATATTTTGAAATTACAAAGAAAAGATTAAAAACAGAATCTTTACTTATAATGAGCTAATATTTCCCTTAAAAAGCATCGAATTGAAAAAATATATATATTTAGAAAGTAATGGGTAAAGTATGTATAATGAAGTAATGATAAATAATGGGAGTAAATTATGAATAGTTTAATAATGCCAGATTGTATATGAAAAGCGATGCGCAAAAATCTACGAAAGAAGCCTAAAGCATCAGTAGGAAGACAAATTATTAGATTGATGCATATATGTTTGAACGATCGAATATTTTCAAATTCAATTAAAATTTATCAATTATTTCGATATTATATAAAGCACGCGCAAAAAGGATAGCTACATGATTATCAATCAAACGAATTTTGTTACTGTAATGACCGCAATTACAAGCTGTACTCGCAATCTGTCTATTAATTATATTTATAGGAAAACTTTTTTACTTAAAAAATTGGATAATATTACCACAATATGATATGTTTATAAAGGTATTTAATGCTAATTACCACTATAATATAAATAATAATTAAATTATGCTATAATGTGCATGTAAATTTTCTTATAAGCTCGGGAAATTGCAATTGAAAATACTTTATCGATCAGAGTATAACGATGTGAGAAATTACACTATGAAAATTTCTCCACCTACATACATGCTCTGCCATTAGCAACATTCTGTTTTATTTTTACAACGCATCCTCGCCCAAATCCTCCAATTTTAATAACTTCTCACAAGAACTTACAAGTAGACTTATCATAGAAGTGGAAAAAGTGCCGCGTGTGGCGAACGAAGGTGCAGGAAAAAGATGATAGTGTCGTTAGTGTTGATACTCACGTATAAGATTCTTGCCGGCGCATGCCAGACAGTGTTGTGCGCATACGAGCATCAAAAGGAGAAACAACCGTAGTGGCAACGACATCAACAACTGCAGCTGCATCTCTTTGGCTTCTCTGCTTTCCACGGTAATATCACGTGTATTGTTCCCGCCCGAAGAACAATGGCAGCCGATACTGCACTTAAAGATATTTCTCGTGATGCGGGAGATCGGATCGCTATCAAGTAAGTTCAACTCTTGAAGCACAATTTCAAATGACTGTCGGTCTGGCGATGAGTATGCGATCGCTTTATATTCTCCAGGTTGACTGGAGTTGTTCTCGTGACGCTGTCGTCGAGGCTATTAGACCAGACACTCACAATACAGGCATACATATATACGTATGGGCCTGTTAGATTCGTCGACTTGTTGTCGGTTGCCTTTTTTTTTTTTTTTTTTTTTTTTTTTTTTTTTTCCCTTCTTTCTTTCTTCCTTTCTTTTTCAAACATGATTGAACAAGCTAATTGTCGGTTGCTGATATTTACCGGCAAATGCTTAACTATTAAGGAAATTTTATCGAATTTTTAATTTTCCAAGTACAAAGCAATCCCAACCAATCAAATATTTATATTTTCGAATATTTCAATGCTCATTAAATATTGTTCTAAAACTTTCAGTAGCTTGGACAAACGTCATCTATTCCTATGACACATAATATTACTTAATTAAGCATTTATTATGACGGATAGCAGCATTTCTATAGGAAATCGATCGACTAAGAATATACGATACGATGAATTACCCATATGAATGTTTGAATGGCTCGATGTTTGCAAATTATATACAATAAAGAAACAAGTGTAATTAGTCATGTAATAATATTGTTTTTTATAAACATTTCGAAAAAAAAAAAAAAAAAAAAAAAAAAAAAAAAAAAAAAAAAAAAAAAAAATCATTTATGGTACACTTAATTCATTACAAAAGTATTTCTGACTGAGTAAGTATGTTGATCGTTTAAATTGTATTAAACAAGATCCAAAGTTAGTTTCATGTTATCGTTATTCTCGATAAATCAACCCTTTTATGCAAATATTTAAATTAGTCGAAGGTAAATTAACCCCTAATGAAAAAAAATTATTTTATAATAACATAACTTGTACGAGCAGTTGAAGAGATTGCAAAAAATGCTATTTATAATCAATGTGATAATAAAATAAAAAAAAAAAAAAAAACAGATTCTGTTCTATGTGAACATTATTTACCATATTTAACTGGATTGAAAATAATCTATTTACAAATACAGTTGACACATTTTTTTATGTTAAACATTATAATTCCATTTTAATAATAAATTTGTATATTCATTTACCGAAATACATTAATAACTATTATTTCTATATACTTTCTTTGGAAAAATTAATTTTGATTAGAATTTTTTTTTTGTTTTTTTTTTTTTTGTTTTTTTTAAAGAATCAATAAATTTTTATTATAAATTAAAATATCGCTAATTAAATGTCAAGGGGACCCAAACGAAAATATTTTATTACTTATATAAGACTTAAAAATTTGTATATATTAATAAACATTATGAGAATTTTATTAATTTTATTATGTTTTTTTTTATGCATATTTCATATTAAATATTAAAGGATATAAACCTTACAAATTTACGATATTAAATAAATTATCTTATTCTTTTCTACGTAATCTTAACTATATAAAGAGGCTATTAAAATTATAATAATAAAGAATAATTTACTATGAAAAACGAAATATATCGGTAGGTATATATATATATATAGTTATATAACGCACGTGTTTTTTATCCTAAAATGTTAATATTTTTTATATATTCATATATACTTTATGGCTTATTAGCTTCACACAAGTATACGATGTGAAAATATACCCAATTTTATATTCTAATGTCTTTAACGATTTTCAGATCAGATAGATTATTTTAGAAGATAAGATTACTTTTCTCATATAAACCTATTTATTCAATATTTCTTCATCATTTCAGAATTACTTGAGCATTAAATATTGCAAAATTGCGTTTGATTAAATAAAATACTGTTTATTCTAATAAAGTTTATTTGATATATGGAATATGCTCTATTACGGTCTTCATTGGGGCTACGTCATCTAACGCAAAATTTTGAATTTGGAATTTGGAAATTATATTTGGAATTTATTAATTAAATTAGTTTTTCAATTAATTATCAGCATATTTAAATATATTATCGAATCAACTCATTTTTCAAAAAGATATTCTCATTCTATTTATATAATTTAATTTGAATTTCTTACTTTCAGCTTCCATTACTTCGGTAAACTATTTGATCACAAGTTTATTCATAATGCAAAGATGTAAAGACAAGTTCAAAATAGTAAAATTGTCGCTTTTTTTTTTACTAAATTTTTACCGAAGAATTTTGATTTCATCTTATAAAATTGATAATAAGAAAGGTATCACAGAGAAAATTAAACTTTGTCAGAATATTTTAATAATCATTAAAGTTTTTCATTATTATTAATATAATTATTGCAATTATTATTATTAACTTGTAAGTAATATAATCGTTATTTTGATTATAAAAATTATTAGAAATATTGCAACTATTAGATATATATGTTCATTTATTTAAAGTTAATATGATTATTACTAGATTAAAGGAGTGACGAAAAATATTGCTAAAGACTTTTTTCTTATAGATAATACCAAATAGTTGCAGCTTTATATTTAATATATCAGCTTATAATAAAGAACCTAATAAATAAACAGTCTAAGTGAATACCTGTTAGTATTTACTATAATAGTATTAGTTTGAGAATTAGTAAACAATGCAATAGACCGATGAAAACTAACTAGAATTATTGTAAATGTAGAAGATTATCTTAGATTAATAAATAAGATTATATAAATGTAGAAAATCATGTAATAAATGACCTAATGAATAGGCAAATTTATTATGAAATATAATATTGATCTGCAATATAAAGAACTTTTGTCGAATTCTGGTAACGATAATTGTGAAAGTAATACGACAATGGTAATAGTGCATTAAGAAAATTATTTTTTTTTTTAAATAATTAAACTTTTTTTATTAATATCTAACGTGAATACAGTAAATACTTATCATAATAAATTGAATATTGTAAAAGCCATGTGACGCTATGTTGACATTTTCTTAACATTTGCATAAACAATGTTTTAGTTGAAAAGATATTGGAAATTTTTAGATATTTATTAATTTTAATACTCTATTCTTAAATTTAAAAGAACTATATTATATATTTAAATTATGCTGTAAGATTTCTTAAATATTAATGAATCAATTAGTTAATTTAATATAATATAAAAAGTATATACGTATATTATAATGTAACAACAAATATGTATTTCTTGATATATATATATATTTTTTTATATATATATATATATAACACAAAGCAACAAATGAAAGTTATTGTTTAATACTGCTACAGAGTATTTAGTTGTTTGTGCTTGAAATATATGATTGTAACAATAATTCGATCATAACAATAGCTTTTTTCTTTTAATAATTGTGATTAGCTATGTATGAATTACATAAATATGTATAAATGATCGTGGAAAAATACAGAGAAATCCGAGATCGAGGGATCGAAAGATAGAAAGACCGAGAGTGCTGGAATAGAATGCTGGAAAATGAGAGAATCGCTGAAAGAGAGAGAGAGAGAGAGAGAGAGAGAGAGAGAGAGAGAGAGAGACGTGAAATTAAGTATCGAAAAATAAATCGGTGAGAAAAAAGGATAGTTCGTTTACACACTTCATTAGTTGACTGGAAAATCACGTATAAAATGAACATAGATCATTCAAAACCTGTACTACGATAATATCTAATGATTAATAATATTATACAAATATAAAATGAGAAATATTTAAATAAAATTATCGTAGAATCGAAATACATAATAACAGTAATTTTTCATAATATATAGTTTAAATGAAGAAATCATAGAATAGTTATTTCAGTTCAAGAAATAAATATTTGACTTTTCAATTACAACATTTAGCCTTTTATTAAATTTACTATACACGCTATAATTTACATTAATTTCAATGAAAAAAAAATGTTTTTACTATCTTTATTATAAAAAAAAATTAGATTCCTATGATATTGAAAAGAAAAAGATAAATCAATGGCTATTAAACAACATTTTTCATTAATGATAAGCGAATTCCAAAATATACAAGTTGACCAAATGATCTACTAGTTGAAAGATTAGCAAAATGAAATTGTGCAAGCGAGAGATGAAAATTAGAAGAGTATTGATAGTCCACTGAGAAAGAAAGGCATATAATGTAATCTCGGGCTTTTATCAGCTTATTGAGAGCTGTTTTATTATATTATAAACGTTGAGCTGTAACGGATAATTATAATTCAATAATTTGGCCACAGAGATAATTAAATACTATTAATTATAATTTATAGGGACGTAATTGGAAGCAAATAGGTAAAATAGTATTGGGAATAAATTGAATTATAAGTTAAATATTAGAACAGGATAAAATATCATATATGTGATATATGTGTACATTTTTATATATATATATATATATATATATATATATATATATATATATATATATATATATGAAGTAATAATAATTAAGAATTTTTAAGTGCAAGAGAGATCTAAAATTAATAAATGCTATGATTTATGAAGTGAATATGTGTTAACAGTATGTTATATTAATGTAAGTTGGTGTGTCTGTTAGGTATGCTTACGTATTATAATTGAATTAAAAAAGGAAAAAAAAAATTTCTTTTCTAATGTATGTACAAGATTTTATCGCCAAAGTGAGTTGTTCGTTCGTCGGAAAATCTCGATTTTCCACCAATAATGTTTGCTTTTCCCTCCATTATTTAATTACTCGCGAGTATTTGGCGTTGCTTTCTTCTGCATTAGCACTACTAATAATTGATAATATAGACACAAGGTTTTCAATTATAATGAGCTATCCGGTTTTCGACCATACATTCATTCTCCCATAAGCTAATCCATGAGCTAAAAATCGTCGGCTGCTAACCGATTGTGAATTAAAGAAATCGATAACCTTGACCGTGTACGGCACGTCTACTCACATCAAAGATCACGACGAGCTCTCGTAATGGAAAAGTAAGGCTTTTATTCGACATCCCGTCTCTTTGACGTAAATCATTTTTAATTCCTTTTTCTCTTTTTTCTTATTTGAATTTTTCCCGAAAAACCTTGAAGGTAGCACGTTGCAGGTATTTTACGTGAACTTCCGCCAAAGC